TCGTGCATTTTGGAATAAGGAACCAATAATTAATCAAGTGGATTTGAGTTAGTGATAATAGTAAATTAAATGGACTTAAGAACAATTATAGATAACAAACTAGACAACAATATACATTGCCAGTCTGGCATTGCAAATGCTAGTAAGGTGATGTCATGTATAAAAGAGGATATAGATAGAAATAAACCAAATGGCAAATCATTTAGGTAAACTAGAAAAATGGTCAGAGTTGTGGCAACTGACATTTAATGTGGATAAGTGCAAGATAATGCATCTTGGCCGTAAAACCCAAGGGCAAAGTATAGAATATTTGATACACTACTAACCTCAACATCTGCGGAAAGGGATTTAGGAATAAATATTCCAGATGACTTAAAGGTAGGCAGACAATCTAATAGTGTAGCAGGAAATGCTAGCAGAATGCTTGGTTGTATAGGGAGAGGTATTAGCAGTAGAAAGAGAGAAGTGGAGGTAAAACGAGACGGGGGATGTGATAGAAACATTTAACCCCTTAGAGACCAGCGCTCTTTTTACACTTCTGCGGTTTTTGTGTTTAGCTGTAATTTTCCTGTTACTCATTTACTGTACCCGCACATATTATATACCATTTTTCTCGCCATTAAATGGTCTTTCTAAAGATACCATTTTTTTCATCATATCATATAATTTACTATAAAACAGATGATAAAATATGATGAAAAATTTTTTTAAAAAACACGCCTTTTCTAACTTTGACCCTCAAAATCTGTTACGCATCTACAACCGCCAAAAATCACCCATGCTAAATAGTTTCTCAATATTGTCCGGAGTTTAGAAATACACAATGTTAACATGTTCTTAGCTTTTTTTTTTGCAAATTATACGGCAATAAGTACAAGTAGCACTTTGCTATTTCCAAACCATTTTTTTTTCAAAATTAACGGAAGTTATATTGTAGCACTGATATCTGTCAGGAATCCCTGAATAACCCTTCACATGTATATATTTTTTAAAAGAAGACAACCTAAGGTATTAAATGTGGGGTATTTTGACACTTTTCATGCAACCATTTTACCACCAATCTATGCCAAATTAAAAAAAAAATTAAAAAAAATTTGTGATTTATTTTTTTTACACACAAAGCAATTTAATAATACATGTACGGAGAACTTTAAGGGTTACTGCCAAAGAACACTCCAATATGTGTTCAGCAATATATCCTGAGTACAGTGATACCCCCCATGTACAGGTGTTTTGGGTTCTCTCTGGGCTAAAAGACCTTATTTGAAGGGTGTGCATTCCAGTTTTCCACAGCTGGTCATCATGCACCCATGTCCTATTTGGGACATTTTTGAAGCCAACCAATATAATTTACCCCCATCAAACCATATATTTTTGAAAGGTAGACACCCTATGGTATTTCAAATGGTGTTTTTTTTTTAACACTTTTCATGCAATAATTCTACCACCAGTCTTTATCAACCTTTTGGGTAGTTGTTTTTTTCTTGTATTATTTTTCACACACATTGTATTTTAGGCATGGATTCTCAGCTCCTGTTATGTATTACTGCCAAAGAACACCCTAATCCTAATATGTGTTCAGCAACATCTCCTGAGTACAGTGATACCACCCATGTACAGGTGTGTCGGGTTCCTCTAGGGGCTAAAAGACCTTATTTGGATTATCAGATTTCTTTGGAATACTCTTATAGTTATTCACTAAGGTAAAGTAAATTGAAACCTGGTTATTCACTAAAGTCGAAATGACCTCAAACTGGGCAAAACCATCCTCTGCTTTACATGGCCAATCACACTTCAAGAACTGGACCTTGTTTACACTATTCAACAAAGTCTGGATTTCAGCCAAACTAAAGGCCCCCAGACAGCTGAAATCCCAACCGAATGCTTCAAATCAGATTTAAATAAAGTCTAAATTATTTGCCCACTGGCAGTAGGGCCATCAGAAATGTTGGGCGCACTTACACAGCTCAAGGTGTAGGCCCCTGATGTCTGCACTCCAGTCCACCCATGGGGCCCACCCAAATTCCTCCCACAAGGATGAAGTGTGTGTGTAGAGTGGCTGCAGTGTGTGTACAGTGAATGCAGTGTGCGTACAGTGGATGCTGAATGTGTGTAGTGGGTGCAGTGTGTGTGTGTGTGTAATGGATGCAGAGTGTATGTATAGTAGATGCAAAATGTGTGTCGTGGATGCAGTGTGTTTATAGTGAATGTAGAGTGTGTGTAGTGGATGCAGCATGTGTAGAGTGGACGTAGAAAATGTGTAGTGTAGTGTAGTGGGGGAGGGGAGGGGAGGGCGAGGGAGTAGTTAGGGATGTTTTTTTGTTGGAGTGGATAGGTGATTGGGGAACCCAAGTCACCCAAAGAAGAGTTGAGGGAGGAACATGCCATTATTTGCATGTCCACCTTCCTTTTGTTTAATTAATTAGAGCTCACACCTGATGCCCATGGGTGGGGGCAGGTGTGGACAGATTAGATAGAATCCCACCAGTTCACATGTTGCTTAGTTGCCCATGAGAGGTCTTGCCAACCACAATACTGAGGACATGCTTAGGTTTTTTTTTCCATTGTATATAAGGGTAGATAGGTGAGCATTAGTGACTGTCGTGGTGAGACATTGTGGCTTACAGCTTTTGATCTGCAGAAAGATAAATGATAAGGATAATAACAGCATTCATATGCTTCCACTCATAAAATAATGAAGTATTACAGTTCCTTGTAATACATTTTTTTGTTGGACTAACAGAAACTTTTACTGACAAGCCGTTAGAGTTCCTCCCTGATACCAGATCACGGCAAATGTAAAAGTATCTCAGGATACTTTTTTCAGTAAAAGCATTAACATTCAATTATATTTGCTCTATGAGATGCTTGCCAGCTGTGCTGTCAAGTCAAACTGCACAGTGTTAATCCCGCAATCCATATTCACTCAGTGTAGGCTGATACAGACCATAGATCAACATACCCCTTAGCTATGTGTGGTGGTCTTTGATCTTCTCTGAATTCTTCTTGTAGGAATAGTTACTGCATGACTCTTTTGTCTTTATAAATGGCCAGCTTTGTACTTGGATCAGCATAAATACTTGGCTTTAGGTGCTAGGTCAGCTATAACTCAGCACTCAAGTTACTGCTTAAATTTCTGCCCAGGTGCCATTTCTTAACTGGGTATACAGGCTTGCAATAAGAGACAGATAGTCTTATTTCATTACAGACAGAAAAAAAAAACAACTATTCAGATCTTCTAAAATTAAAACTGTTCAAATTGAGTGTTTTTTAAAATTTAAGGCATGCCAAAGTAGTCAAACTGGAAACAAACTGGACTTGATGATTTTTTCCAGGTCGACTGTTTTGGCCTTTGAAATTCACATTTAATTCCTGACAATTCTCACTTTCGTGAATAACCTAGGTCAGGGGTAGTCAACCTTTTAATACCTACCACCCACTTTTGTATCTTTGTTGAAGGCAAAATTTTCTTACCGTCCACCGGTGCCGCAGTAACTAATTTTATAGCACAACTGCAATTTTTTTTATTATTTATTTATTTATTTTTAGATAGGAAGGTTTTTTTTTTTTTTAAATATGTACTTTAAATATGTACTTTAAATATGTACTAATATTTATATTTTATTTCCTGTTTTTCTATTATCTATTCTACTTTTTTTCTGTGTGTCTGTGATGTGTTGTGTGTGTGAAGGGTGCTGTGTGTGTGTGAAGAGTGCTGTATGTGGGTGAAGGGTGCAGTGTGTGTGTGAGGAGTGTGCAGTGCGTGTGTGTGAAGTGTGTGGTGCAGTGCGTTTGTGTGTGAAGGGTGCAGTGCGTGTGTGAGGGGTGCTGTGTGTGTGTGATGGGGAAGTACGTGTGTGAGAAGAGTGTAGTGTGTGTGAGGGGGCAGTGTGTCTGTGCGTGTGAGGGGGGCAGTATGTGTGTGTGTGTGTGTGTGTGAGGGATCAGTGTGTGTGTGTGTGGGGGGGGGTGTAGTGTGTGTTTGTGTGTGAAGGATGCATAGGGTCTATGCTGTGTGTAGGTGGGTGAGATGTGAAAATCTATCTTAAAGTCTCGCCCTCCCTTCTTACATTTTACTAGGGAATACTACAGTATTCTAAAATAAGGGTTTGGTAGGTGATGTATCAGGAATGGTATACTGGCAAAGTGAGATGAAGGTGGCAGTGAAGGGCAGGTATGAGTTAGAGATATATTCTTTATTTTGTCAAAATACCTGAAACAAAGGACAAAGCACAATAAAGGGAAAAAAGTGCCTGAGGGGCAAGCATACCTTTCAATGCTGTAATAATTACTTAATGGCACTCTCTAGACACATTTTCTGGTATCGTAAACTAAAACTAGCGATATTTATGTAAAACGACGCACAGTCAGAAATGAAAGAAAATAAACCAATTCCATAATAATCCTTAGACAATTAATGCATTGCTTTTAATGGGACAGTACGCCAAAATGGATTTACCAGTCTAAAAAAGGTTTCATTTTCAATAAGATAAAACAGCACAGTATGTTTGCTTTAGAAGTTTGTAGGCTTCTACTCGGTTAATTTAACTATAATGTCACACAGGAGGCTCCTGTAGGATGCAGAAGGCTATTAACAGAGCAGTAGATAATACATTCTAAATTAAACACACTGTGCAATAAAGTAAGCTTAAACATCAGATCTCTCTTTACAGGAAATGTGTAGGGGTACTGTGTAGGTCATATGCAGGGAAAGTGTGACCATTGCTGCATAAACAAAGTGATTTAACTACTAAATGCTAGGGAACTGAGCAGTGAGAATGCAGGGGCCTTATTTATACACCGACAACAATTCCATTAAGATTTGTTTGGGTGCTTATAATGTCCCTTTAAGCTAAGGTTGATTTGACAGGACCTTATATAGATATATAATAATAATTTTTCCTTGCCTAGATATTCTGGAAAACCAAGCTGGGTCAAAATAACAATGTAGTGCATAATAATTTTGCAGAGTTTTAAGTATTTGTATGTTAGGCCCTTGGCTTGTGATTATTCAAGATGTATTGTATTAACACTCTGTTCTTTTTATTTTCCTTTTCTTCCTGGCACTGTATTGTTAGATTATCCAGAAGATCCAGTGTGATCGAATACTGAGCAGCTGAGCAGAACCCTATGGAGTATTCTCCTTTCACTGGGCAGATATAGTGGAAGGGGGTCACATGATAGAGGAACTTACCGTTTGGGTCACACATCAAGGGTAAAAAAGTAACCAGTGAAGGGAAAAAAGAGAAAAGAGGAGCAGCAGTAAAAAATAATCTATATTTATATATTTATGAAATATAGATTATTTCGAGATTTCTTTTTACTAGTCCTCCTGTTTTCCCTCTATTACTCTCTTCCCACTTAATCTGTGAATAAACTCAACATTGAGTGACCATCCATTAGCCATCAGTCATCTTTTTCCTATAAATTTTTTTTCCATGGCAGCGGAATTCAGAATCCCAATTTAAAAAGACATGTTCACTCGAAGGGCCCAAATTCTGATGATTTGCAGATCGGAACAAAACAAATCTCCAAGTCTAGTATTATCTGTCCATGATGTTCCATGTCCAACTTTGTCATTACCCTTAAGGCAATGCTGCAATAACACAGTAGAACATAGTTTCAACAGTTTCCAATTTTCCATTCTGAAAATTAATTTTCCTGATTGCAACCATGGCAGCATTTCTTTCCACCCTTCTTCTATGGGGCCATGCAATTAGTTACATAAACTGCCTGATTTTGATTGGCAGAACTGTTTATACAAATGTTACAGTCCTGTTACTTGAACTTTCTTCTGTGAGGGAAGAGCTACCCATTAGTTAAAGCTGCCATTAATTTAATAAAGAAAAGAAAAGTGCAATAATTCACGGAAACAATTTTCTATTTAGTTGTGAAAGATAACTCTATTAAGGTGTCTTAAGATTCACAAATAAAATATCAAGCCATCATAAATCAGTCTGTTTAATAAATAGATTGACAGGTTAAAGGAGTTTGGAATCAAACTTTGAGACCACAGTGCAAAAGGAATTTGACTCCGTTCCTTGTAGGTGACAGCACTAATAATAGCATCTGCAGAGTACAAGCATATTTTAATAATTTAGCTAAAGATGAATGAGGTTTGAATTGCACATGTATTTATGTGAAACATGTTCTCATAAATTTTTTCAAAGCAAAAACTTTTTATTGTGTTTTTGCGAACCATGATTCCATTATTTCTCTTGCCTAATCTAATTATTTTTATCTAAATTATATATATTTTACATTCAGTAAGTAATGACCCAGAATATTAAAATATATTTTTTTATTTTTCTTCTATGAATTATTCCAGAATAAAGTTGTGCATGTAGGGTTCGTGTGACCGCAAGCCTAGCCGCATGGTCGTGTGAGAGGCAAGCTCTGTTGATGGAAACCAAAAAATTGAGCGTGATGAACTAGCGAGAAGAAGAAAGTATAACCAATGAGTATTGGGCAGTGTAAGGGGAAACAAATGCAGAGAAAGATACTTTTTTTTACTCGCCATGGAGTGCAACAAAATAAATCCATGCAGTGGACTGGCAAGGCCCAATATAACTAAAACATAGAGGAAAATAGGGACTAGAACCCTGTCAGGAGTAGACTCCATCTTAACCAAAGTTGTTCTCCAGGCTATGTAGACTTCCAATCTGAAAAACAAATAGAAAGGTTGGACTAAAACATGATATACAAGAATTGGGGACTAGGTCTTCCCATGTGGAAAAGAAGTTGGAGGAATTTGCTGAGACCCACAACAGCATGGCCGATAAGGTTCAACATATAAAAGCATTACTAGATATGTAACACCAAAATTATGGATATGGAGAATAAAATCATGTAGAAATAATTTATACATCAGGGTAGTCCCTGAGAGTGTCCAGCAAGTCTCACTACAATTATATATGAGGAGTCTGTTTTTAGGCCTTGGCACCTGGTACTTCACCTGACTGTCACGGCCACCTGATTGGTCGACCACGCTGACAGGTTGGAGGACTTACCTGTTCAGCAATGAGCTGGGAGCCGACCCGCTGGGGCATCCGTCCCCTTCACACACAGGAGCCAAAATGGCTCTGACCACGTGGTCATCGTCATTTGTAGCTCCACCTTCAAAGGTCACGTGAACATGCCAACATCACGACGTCAACGCACACGCACGTTCTGGGGTCAGAGGCCAAGCTCTGACCAATCACAGCCCAAGGAGTGGTACTTAAACCCCTGAATTTTCCTAGCTCATTGCCCTGTCATAGTTTCTGTTCTTGGTTCCTGAGAGTGTGTTTTCTTGTCCTTGTTATTCATATTCTGACTTTGGCTATTCCTGACTATTCTGTTCTCTGGTTTCCCTGACTTGGCTTTCTTATCAATCTTGTGTATTCCTTGACCATTCTCTGTCTTTCAACGTATTAATCTGGCCATTCTAAGAACCGGTTTACGTTCTGTATATTTTGCTATTCTATGTAGAAGTTACATAGTTTTGCGTGTTGGATCACATTAGTAGTCGTGACACTGACAGGATACACAGGATACCAAACCAAAACACCTTTCTGAAAAAATCTCTTGTAATATTATTTTTGTGCATGCACTATTATCATGTCAAGGAAAAAAAAAATACAGCTTAGCAGAGTTGCCACTGAACTACCTGGAGAAACAATATTACAATTTAACTAATACATAATAAATTAATAAACTATAAGTAACTAACAACTGGAAAAAGCTAATTAGATCTAGGTACCTTAACACTTGACACTGATGGGAGACACCGGATTAACTGTCACCAGTGAGAGTCACATTTAAACGTTGTTTTGGAAGCTAATCTCCATGGAACTGAAGCCACCAAATGTTTCTAAAAAAAAAAAAAAGTATCCAGTTTGTTCCCACACCTCTTCTACTATAATGACCCCTATAAAAGTGCTTTGCTTTCCCAGCTGACAATTCAGGGGAGTGGGCAATGCACCGCAGATGTCGGGATAATTAGTCTTGATCCTGACTCTTGGTGCCTTAGGCAATATCCACCGCCAATGTAACCAGTTAGGTACGCTAATCAATATGGGAAAATGTACATAAGGTTTTGCATATTGTTTTGTTCTATGCTCTTTCAAAATGTTCCAAGACCGTGTGGAAGGCCTGCATTTCCTTCCACACCCCATCATGTACTATTGCCAATATAAAGAACTTCAGCAACCTTTGCTTAAAGTAAGACAGCCTCATCCTGCATTCACACTTGTTGTTATAGACTTACCTGCTACCATTTTCTTCAGTTGACTTGTCATTCCGTTGGTATCTACCTGGATCGCTCTAAGGACAACAGTGAAGGGGAGTTACTCTGACTCTCAAGGCTCCATAGCAATATTTCTAGTCTTAGAATATACTCTCATAATGTCAGAGGCCTAAACACCCCCTATAACAGGCAGATAATGTTGCGGTTGGTCATTCAACAATCAGTTGATATGCTCCTCTTTTAGGAGACTCATCTCCCTAAATCCACCAGTTTCATGCCACAGTTATGACAAAATCAGAGGGTATCTCTAAATTGATCAGCCATTACTCTGTCAACGCTTGTCAAGGATCCAGAGGGTCCTGGTGTGGTGTGTGTGTGATTAACAACATAGCATAGACCCTGGTTCATTTATTTGTGCCAAATGTCAATCAAAGAAGCTTTCTAGAGAAAGTTCTTAAAAAATTAGATACAATTAATCAAGGTATACTGCAGATAGGAGGTGGCTTCAATCATGTTTCTGACCCTTCTCTTGATACATTGATGTCATTATTAAAATCAGACACAAACTTCTAAAGACTCAGTGTAGATCAATTACTAGATTACTAGCAGACAGCAATTTGTATGATATATGGCTAACACTGCATTCACTACACATACACACAAACAATAAACACTACACACACACTGCATTCACCATCTACATACATACAAACACCTTGCATCCACTATATACACACAAACTGCATCTACTACACACACACTGCATCTACTACCTAGGGCACATTCACTACACATACACACACTGAATTCACAATACACACACTGCATCCACTACACACTGCATCCACTACACACACTGCATCTACTACACAGACCACATTCAGTACACGTCACATACACACACTGCATCCACTACACACACACTGCATCCACTACACACACTGGATGTCATATTTGCAGGCTCCAATATAATTAATTTATTTAGTAAAATAAAGTGTTTTTTTTTTTGTTAGGACTGGATTCCAACTGAGCCCTAAACTTTAGAATGTTATTGAATGTTTGCGTACCTTGGGAGGTATAGGCAAACTTGTCACATATTGGCCTCATATTACTATAACTTTCAATGTTGCAAGGCACATGCACTATTACAGTAATATACACATAAATATGATTATAATAAAGACGGCATAATGCACACACGTTACACTATAAATATATGTATACTATACACATACTAGCATTGCTATAAGTAATATTTGATTTACTCAGATATTGGTAGGAATTATGCAATATTCCTTCATGTTTAGGTAAGAAGTCTTGTATGATTTCATTATCTTTACACAGAAGCAGAAGCCGTGCAAAGATTTATTACAGCTGCTTTATAAATCTTAACATTGGAATATAGAGCCAAAAACTATTAGTGTCACAGTTACATGGAGATATTTTTATTTTTATTTGACCTTAATACTCTGATGACATAGATCTAAGTTAAACACCCATTTAAACGTACTGTTTATATTTCCTAATAAAAAAAATAAAAAGATAAAATATATAAAGTTGATAATACGGTACGCAACATCAAGGGATTTATTTTTGTTGTTGATAATTGAACATTTCTTAACTGATTATAACTAGAAACAGACATTTCACATTCTATTCTCTACATCATCATTCAACTCAGTCATGATGTGCTAATTGTTAGGCATGTCTGCCTAAAGTGTACCTTGTAGCCAGAGCTGCCATCAGAAATGTTGGATTCCATTACACAGATCAAGGTCTGGGCACCTAGGGCCCGCCCATGAGTCCTCCCACAGGGCCCACCCCTAATTCCACCCACAGGACCGCAGAGTCCGATCACAAGAATGAGTAAAGTGGATGCAGTGTGCGTATGTGTGTGTTTAGTGGATGGAAGGTGTGTATTTTATATGGCATGCAGAGTGTGTGTGTGTATAGTGGATGGAGTATATGTGTGTGTGTATGTGTGAAAA